CATAGGGTCAGAGCATCAATGTCCAGAGGTCTGCATTTGCTCTTATTTTCATCAACCAAGTGTGTGGTTGCCAGAKCTCACCATCTGGCAAAAAATGTTTTCTGTCGAGTTTCTTATATTCATCAGAAATATCCACAAATATAAAATGAATCAGCAACATGGTTCTAGGATCCTATAGGTATAGACCCAYGTAGCTAATTCACTTTGTCTAAAATCTCTGATTAGAACACTTGATACCAATCCTTTTTGTGTTCTTTCTAATGCAATATTTTGTTTTTTGAGAAATTTCTCTGCAGTGAAGAGAGTTAACAGCAGGTAATGCCATTCATCTCGGAAGGAGTTTGAAATTTTYAGTGTTAGTGATGAATGAGGGTATCTGACCCACATCTGTTTTACATTAGAATGGAACAKTGCCCTGACATCGTTAGGAGCATTTGTCAAGATTCCCTGGACAGAGCTTCTGTAAATTACATGCTGCAAATGTGTCAGGGTCAGATAAGAGGATATCATTAACTGTGCTAAAGTTTACTCATGATTCTGTCAGTTCAACTTAATATGTTAACTGCCAACCATTTTCCTTTAGCTGTTTCATTAAATCTTTCGTTCACAGGAGGGGAAAAATAGTATCACTGTACCCAAAAAATATTGCACATGTTCTTTTCTCATAAATCATATTAATTGCAGCMATGGTCACAAAGCATATTAAACACAGGCATGCGTAAATGAATTAAAACATATGAGAATTTTATTGTGCCTATGGTAGGTCTTCCTAAAATACCAACCACTTTAATAGTCAGAATGTTTCATTTCAACCAAATGANTTTTAAATACAATATAATGATTCATTCTAACAAAAAGCTAGGTGAAAGATGCAAATTGCTCTCAGATATTAAGCCATGTACTATTACTGCTGGTAATTGGTAGAAGAAATGYTTTCCCTTAATGTTTTAAATATTATATACCACCTTCTGACATGGTTAACTACAAGACATAGAAGGCAAATATTCGACGTTAAGTCAGGCATAAATTACATTTAGTGGGGTTTTTATTGGGTTTTTTTTGGTTATTTTTTTTTTTTTTTTTTTTTAAATTTAATGGCCTGTATTTTGGTGATAATAGAAGTATTTTCTAAAAGCTGATAATGGACAAGACATTGTGTAGGTGTCTTTAAAGGCTTTTATTACTCGAGATCTCTTTCTTGATCACATCCTCAGCTGGTGATTCTGTGCTGATTCTACCAGCAAAGGATTTGTCCTAATGAATACTTGCTTCAGATGTGTTCTCTGAAAACTTTTCAGAAGTTCAATTTACTTATTCCTAATTTTACCTTTATTTTCTAACAGAATAGAATGATTTTATCAATTACATATATTGTTTTTTATTGTACAAGCACAAAGTCTGTSCATCAACATGCCTTGTGTGTGTTTTGTTAAAGGTGAGAAGAAAATAYATGCAGTTCAAAAACTTAATCTGATTTTATTTTTATTTTTGCATTTCTAGGAGTTCTGAAAAAGAAATTTCAAATAGTAACTGCATCATTTTAATTCTAGGTGTTAGATCAGCCCTTGGATTCTGGGTCAATGAGGCTGAGAATTACTAATTTAGCTTTCCCAAAGTGATTTAGAAGAAAGAATATGTTTTGCAGTAATGTGGATGGTATAGAGATTGAATAAATTTGTTTTCCACCTTAATTATTATAAAGCAATCATATCTGTTTACCTCCTTAGAACTATACTGCCTCATACCCACAGAATATCTGAGCTGCAAAATCCAGATCCTTGAGTGTCTCCTGTGCACTGCTAAGCTGAGTTGTGCAGACATGGCCCATTAATGGATTTCTAATTGATTAGGTGAAAGTGAGCCATGCCCTTCCTGTAACTCCTTGTATGGGTGAGAAGGTCACGGCACATACCGTAGCAAAGACTTCTGCCCTGAGGCTACTTCCCTTGGAGCTYTCAAAACAGACACGACCAAAAATCTAATTATTTAGATACTAATCAACTGCAGGATGATTCTGAGGGCCTCAGAGGAAGATATTTCTGAGAAGTTGGTTACTGTTCAGACTTCAGTTTTCTCCAGCTCAAGAGWGGCAGCTCTGTCATTTCTGCCCCAGAATATCTACTAGGTGCATATCCACTTAATAAAATGGTGCTTCAAATTTTAMAAATTTAAAGCAAATCTCACCAAACGCAAATTTTAGTCTGTCAAAGAAAATAAATATCCAAATATAGTTGCTGCTGAAGTCTGAGAGGTGTTTGAGACTCTGTCTGGATCTGAGTTTCAATTTCAAGACAAAGCCCTAATTTTACAATAGCTTCTAATCCAAAAGTTTTTGACCTCACTGTTTTTGCTGGCAAAGTCCAAATAATAGTGTTGTCTCAGGCTTTACTCTAGTGAAAATACTAAACTGAAAAAAATCTCTAGTTGCAATACACAGTTGGTAAAATAGTTATTCACCCAAATTGATCTGAAAAGTGCTGGCAGAGGCAGTGTGTGATGTGAGAGCCCTGGGGCAGAGWTCCCCTGTGACATCAACTCAGCCCAGTCCCTTCTCCCTGCTCTTGAACTTGGAACAGAACGTGGTGAAGTCCTGCAAATATTGGTGTCACACTGGCCCTGCACAGGAACAGAAAGGGTCGTGCACTTGAGATTGCTGATAAACCCCTGTGCRTTTTAAACCGTAGTCAAAACCATGGTACTCCTGCCAACATAAATATTTGCCAAAGTAGTAATTTTCAATGTAAATGTTTAAGTTAAGCCATGGGTTTTTTTGTGGATCTTTCTCTTCTTTTAACTCTATTAGTGTTATTTTCAAAGGACACGGATTAACATAACGTGAATGAACATAGGTTTTAATACTGTGTCCTGCTGATGAAATGTCAGGTCATTCAGCACACTATGTTTTTGGACCATATCAAATTCCAAAGTTATAAGAAAAATATTTGTAATTTCTGRAACAGAAAAACTTGCTAAAATTGTAGAAATTTTAATAGTTTTCAGAAACCAATTTTTAGAACAAAACTTGAGATTTCAATTATTTCAACTTTTGGTGAATTTTGGCACAAAACCCTGTGCAGATAACAAGATTTTTCAATCAGTGGGGATTTTAGAGTTGCTTATTATTAGCGCTAAGTTCTTTTAATAGGTTTTGGTTATTTTAAATATTTGCTGAATTAAATAGAAAATACCTTACATCCTGAAGCCAAAATCAYCTTGTTTTTATAACTTAAAATTTGTATATCAGTATTTCAAATGAAGTCTTTGCATAAGTTTTGCAATTTCTTTTTGCATGAATGCCTCAGTTTGTGAAACATTCAGAAAATACCATTGGTTAAGCGCATGCTTTTCTGCTTAGTGAATCAGAAGTGAATATTCCAGTGCTGTACACAGTAACAAAACTACTTTCTCAGCTTTTTCTTATTGCAGTGAGATATCTTGGCATCAAATGCACCTTAGATATTTTGTATTTTTAATGTAGGTATCTGGACGACTCTTTTCGAACCCCTCTGTACCTCTTGCTCTTTTCCTAGACATACAAAAACTGGGTAGATCTTCTTTCCCATGATRCCTGGATCTTATTTCATGTATTTATTAAAAAAGAAAACAAACTAACAGAAACCAAAACAAGKCAGAGCTGGAACCACAAGCTCTCTGCAATAATAATACATTTTAGTTTGTGATGGAAAATAGCTACACTTCCAGGAGGAGCATCAGATCTTTAGGAAATAGATATGTCTTATGGGGTTTAATTCAGTCTTTACAAAAGAGATTCCAATTTAAAAAAAATGTCTTCTGTTTATGGCAAGAATTGCTGCAAAGCAAAATGATTATCAAATAGCACATGTTAGATAATTGTAATGCCTTTTTGGAGCAAGAACAGCCTGTAAATTATCACAATATGCAGTTTTGGCAGAAGTTGTATGTCATCCATCCATTAGAAGCTGCAGAGTGCTTGTCAGGCTCAAGTGCAATTTATTCCAGCAAAAGTAAGCAAATTTCAGTCATACACTTATCTTCAAAGTGTGCTGTAGGCGTGTGCCAGGAAAGGGAATGTTCACCAACCTCTAGTGGGAGGGATTTTTTCACAACAAGAACTTTTCACTGTAGTTTCATGCTTGGAAATGTAGATTTTTTGAWTTTTTTTTCTTTCTCTTCTACAGGAAATTATAGCCTAGAGGGCTGGGCTTTTATAGGGACAAGCATGTRTTTTCCAGTAACCCTTTTTCAACTACTGATTTCAAAATTGTCCCTGTAGAATTGGCTTAAATCACAGCTGACTCCAAGTCACAGCTGACTTGAAGTTGGTCTGGAATGCTGACCCTTTCTGCTGTGTCCTCTGAGTCAGATGGTGGAATTGATAACTGGTGCTATGACCAGCACTTTCCTCTTGCACATTGATTTCTTTACAGGCCAGCAGAGAGGGCATGCAGCAGCAGGGGTACAGCTACTCTGCCCTTTTCCCAGCACCCAGAACATCAGGAATACTTGGATTACAAGAACATCTTTATTACYTCCATCAGTAGTGTTACTGGGATCTGCTCCAAACTGATTTTGTTGTARTGATTGCTGATCTTGGAGAAGAACACTGTGTGAGCTTATTCACAGCTTTTCTATGWTTGTAGATCATGCAGGACAGCACAGCTGAACAGCCACTACTTGCTTTTTGTTCTCTTATGATTTAGTCCTCAAGGAATAAACATCTGCAGAACTCCCAGCTGGGGCTGGGTTCAGGCACTCTAAAACCATAAAATTTTTAAAAAATATTTTTTCTTTATTTGCTCTGGTATCACTTTTTATTGCTTGTTAAGCCATTAGATTTTATTTTGGTGGATGATGCAATCAAAATCTACTTCCTCTTGGGATTAGCTACTCAAAGGACAGTTCAAGTATCAAGTCTGCTTGGTTTAGGAAATCAAATTATAGATTTGAGAACTTCTGTGGTTCTGTAAGAAATGTGGTTCTTCGTGTATTTTAACTCTTTCTGTTATTCTGCCTCTTAGGTAATGGGACTCTTGACTAACCACGGTGGCGTGCCTCACCAGCCCCAAACTGATTATGCCCTGTCCCCTCTAACTGGGGGCCTGGAGCCCACCACCACTGTGTCAGCCAGCTGCAGCCAGAGGTTAGATCACATGAAGAGCTTAGACAGCCTGCCTACATCCCAGTCCTACTGCCCACCGACCTACAGCACCACGGGATACAGCATGGACCCCGTCACRGGCTACCAGTATGGACAGTATGGACAAAGTGAGTACTGGCACACGGGAAAAGTGGGATGGGCTACTCTACACTCAGCTATCAGAGCCTGTGCTTTGTGTCTGTAAGAAAGGGAATTCTGAGCACAGATCCTAATGGCTCACTGCTACTTCTCCCCAAAGTGTGCACTGGTGAGATAGCTGATTGTTCGAGCAGGATTTCTGCTGCATAATTATTTTCTTAAGTGATGTCAACAACATCTTGATGTTATTAATTGTTGAGACATGAAACCTGATTGCCATTAGGTAAAACATAAGGGTTGTCCAAAATGAAATAACCGCTGGCATTCCACTATTAGAAACACATGTTCTTAATGAGGTCAGCTCAAGAATCATTACAGTATATAATCCCAGATACATAGAGTTTTGTCAAACTTGTCCTAGGAATAAAAATATTAGTCCCTTTCCTTTGATATATCAGTATTAAATATGACAATGTCAACCTGTAGTTGGCATGGCCCCATGCTGTGAGGTTGTCACAGCATGACTTAAAAAGCTTCTTTTGCTTTTTTGCAGGTGCCTTTCATTATCTGAAGCCAGATATTGCATAAATGAACTGTCCACTTCAAGTTAAAGCTAGTCTTGTTTTCCGGTGTCACTCCAAGGCTTGGATATGAGGGATCTTCTCGACACACTGCAGCCTAAACTGGGGCAGTCCCACTGAGAGAAACAAGCTTGTTATGTTCTCTCCAGACATAGTTTTTAGTAGACTTTTGAAGGCTGGACAAAGCTATACAGAAGACAAAGGCCAAAAGCAATAATGAATAAATGTGACATGCTTCATTATGAGTGGGTATACAAAACAGAGCAGTATTTAACATCACAGCCTGGCAAACATTCCATTTTTCAGTTGTTGTTGAAATTAATGTTCATTGATTGGGACAAATGGAACATTTTGAGACTAAACTTAGAGCAGTTGAGCTCTGCKTACTCTGACTCATCTGACATCCAGTGCTGACTTTAGTCTAACTTTCAAACAGCTCAGTTTCTGAAGYAAGGTTGGGAGAACCTCTCACTGTACACACTGGAAATTGTCATCAAGAGGAAACATCCCCGTCCATAGGAAGCTGAATATGTGTGACAGACTCCSCAAGCAACTCATTGGTTACCTTACCACGCTTTTGTAATCACCTTGTCCCTAAATGTCACTCACAGGTTTTGCTTTACCAAGAGAGGAGGTCTTGTGTAACATGAAACCCCGATTTTACCTTTTTGTAAGTGTTTTCCCAGTGTGTTGTACCTTTCTAAACAAACACGGGAGACAAAATCCCCACCAACAATGCGACTGATTTTTCACAACTGCCTAGCAATGTGCAATACTGTGTACCTCACACAAGCTTTGGGATCATCCAAAGTCATAGATATAGAATCAGAACTATATTTTTGCAGGTACTTTTATTTTTGCAGTGCATAATTCTGACGATAAAATACAGAGGTGTTGCAGTCTGCTGGATTGCTGAAATCCAGTTTGCTAATCATGATTTAAAAGTCATCTTCAGGAAACAATACGAAGAAATTATTACGTTTACATTTTTTTTTAGTGGTGTACAGGTCATAGACACAGATGGACCTGTATTTGACACGTTTGTTTAAATTATACAGTGATATCCAATATAGAAAGTATAATTATAGGAACCAAGGTTTACAAGAAGTTTGCATTGTGACATTTTAGAATGTCAATAAATTTGTGTTTTGTGATGTTGAGAGGAAGAGGACGATGGAAGGCGGGATTATTTATTTCTCTCTTCTTGGGACAAAGAGGGAGGCAGAACACAAATACATTCCTTTTAGCATTAAGGACTATGAAGTAGTGAGTTAGACTAGGTTCAGTACAGAGGTTAGTTCACACAATGGTCTTAAGGGTGATGGAAAAATGAAATATTATCTTTGTGTTGCAGCCTCTACAACAACATGTGTTGTAAAAAAAAAAGAAAAAACCCAAACAAAAAAAATCACAAAAAAGAAAACAAAAAAACAAATGTCTTTCATGTAAAAAGTTCAGTAAATATTTACTATTTATAATGAATAAACATTATGAAGACTTGCAAAGCACTGATGATTTTGTCCTAAAATGTAGTATTGTGCTAAATACATTGATACATTTTAATCTGAATATCATGAAGAAATAAACCATGTTATCTTCGATGCAAATTGTATTCATTATATGAGTGTATTCTGCACACATCCTGGGCTGTGGGAGTATTGGGCAGCCTCTGTGCCCACGTACTGCTAATGTGCTATGAACTCTGTGTGTGTGTGTGTGTGTGTGTGATGATGAGTGTGAGATAATGCATTTTCCAGGTGTTGTTGGTACCTCTTCCCAGCCAGAGAAAACCCTTTGTTATGAATTCAGAAGAAAATGTCATAGGCCTAAAACCAGCTCAAATACGGCAACTGGGATAGCTCCAGACAATACAGGAACTTTGTAATCTATTATGGGTAGTATCTATCCTGAATTATATTTTTTTCCTCAGAAACCTCAAGAATTTTTTAACAGGCCTACACATAAACTGATTAAAACACGGGGAAGAGCCTTCAAAATGCATGGAGTAAGTTTTATTAGCACCCTAGGATTGGTGAACATTTTAATTTCCTCATTATTTTGCATGGTATGTAAYRRCTTGAATTTATTTCAGATTTTTTTTCCATGTGCATTTTATTTTTATTTTTGTCTTTTAAATGTAGCACAYTTCCACTGGAAAAGGAATGAATGCATTTCTTGAAAAATGCTGAAAAATGGGGAAAGGAAATTTTTTTTTCCCTTTCCAGTTTCCGTTTCTCTGATACACTTTTTAACTTCTGTGAGCCTTATAACTCTCTTATGAACACCCATTTCCTGCTCCAAACTGCTAATTTTTCTGATTTTTCTCAATGTTGCTTCCAAGGACTTGGCCCTTGGTAATTGTCTCATGGGCTTGCTGCAGAGACCGAGTAAACCTCTGTTCCCCACTTGCAATCCCTTTGCTGTAAACAACTGGATAGAATCCTGCTTGCTGACAGTTTGGGATGGGGTGATGAATGCTCCTTCCCAGGAGGAGTGCACCCTTGTCACAGGGAGATTGAAAATGCCACCTTCCTTTTCTGTTCCAGCAGCTGTGGGGTGGGGCAGAGCTGTGATTCCTCCCAATCCCTTCAATCCCACTGAGGTGCTTTACCAACCTCACGTGAGAAAAAGGTCATTTTGGCTGCTCCATCCTCTTTTCAAGGGTCTCTAAGCACTTTGTGTTAGAGCAGAGCAGGAAACACTGGAAACAAGACAGTAGAAAAGGCAGGTGTCCCTACCCATAGCAGAGGAGTTGGAACTGGGTTATATTTAAGGTCYCTTCYCACCYAAACCTTYCTATGATYCCATGAAAATCACCCAGTCTTCTCACAGACAAGCCATGCGAGCAGGAATTGGGATGAGCTCTTGTCAGGGGAAGGGAGGAGCCTGGGGCACAGGGACTAAGCATTTTCTTGGGTTATCGTGTGCTGTAGAAATCTTTGACAGAGCTATGAGGATAGCTCGGGATACTGYTGATCCCTTCTTGTTATCACTGTCAAGACTGAAGAGGTTCTTGGGAACCACATGTGTTCCTGGAATACGAGTCCTGAACACTCAGAAAGTCAAAGGGGAATGAGCCTGCCATGGATATTGCATTTGACAGAAAAGCCTTACAATAGCTGGGAAGAATGTACTCACAGCATAGRAGTCCAAACCCCCTCACTAATGAGTGCAGAAAGGGCAGATCTCTGAGTCCCTCCTCTTATTTTCCTTTTKTGTGTGTGTGTGAGTGTGCATATTTTACAAGATGGAAATAACCACAGCTGCTTTACCAACTCTCTGTCATCTCATTAGAATTGGTAACTTTTGAGAGACAGGTTTTCACGAAAAAATATTTTTTCCCTTGTGGCGTGACTATGATTTTTAATTTATTATTTTCTTTTAAGTCTTCCTTTATCTAGAAATAACCTCTACTCCCATCACAATACCATTTTGCCATATACTCACTTTAGTAAGTACTGCTATTCCCTTATCTGRGCATTAATCAATGAGCTGGGAAAATAACAATTTTTAATGACACCTATTATCCTTTTCTTTGCTCTAGATATTACAGTGGTTCTCATTTGAATACAAACTAAAAATAAACATTTTSCTCCATTATTCACACAGGGTTTTCTACTCAATATTGCTCAAAAGTCTCTAYCCAAGTAACAACTGGTGTTGAAGTGTATCTTTCTGAGCTGTTTTGAAAGGCAGAAAATGCCTATCTGAATCTACAAATCTTCACTGAAAATAGCTGGTTGTCAAACAGATTCTGTGTCCTCAGAAATCARTTTCTGCACATATGTGATATTAGACTTAGGTTTTTAACCCTAGGTAAGGTCTGTGCAAATTCAAATACAAAAAATCTGGCCACAGGTCTGTAACATATATCTCCAAATATAATAAAAAATACAAAGTTRCTTAGCTTTGGAATTCCAAACCCCATTCCAAGTTAACACATGCAACTAATATTTTTTTTTGTAGCAAGGATGTCTTTGCATTTTCCCAGAAGTATGGAAGACTACATGCAAATTATTTGTTATGTCTAAATTTTGTGGTATATTCTCATACATATAAGAAATGTATTCTCTCTGGTCACTGCTGATGTGTAAAGCATACATATTTCTGTGTTGGTAACCATGAACATTTTCATTTGCTCTTTAAGGCTTCTGGCCTTAAAGTCAATAAAGTGAATTACTAGAAGGTACCTTTTAATGAAATAAGCAGAAATTAACTTAAGGCAATATCAGTGAGACCATCAGAAACCTGGAGCAGCTTGAATTTATAAACTTCTTTGTATTGTTCACTTCAATATTCTGCTTAATTGCAATAAAACCTGAACCTTGATTAGAATATCCCATTTTTAATTTATTTTGGCTTTTCCAATGTCATCTGGATATTGCCTAGAGCAACTACAGAGCCCTAGGGTTATTTATAGAATCACACAAGTTGATTYGAATCTGTTCAAGATATTTGTCTATTGTAAAATAATAAAACTTGCAGTCTACTTCTGTGGTCATTGCAGGTACGAGGCCAATTGATTTCAGATTTTCACTCCCTGTTCTTTCCCAGCAATTCTGGGAAGTTCAGCACAGGCTGGGAAATTCTCATGGGTCTCAGGGAGCAAAGTGCTACAGTTAGAGGTTTTTCAGGTTCCAAACCTTACAGGTATTTATTGYACAAGCAGGTTGCAAAATCAGGATGTGTCCATAGTGCTGGTGCTTGGCTCTSTTTTGCCACCACAGCTCCCACCAGCAGCACTTTGTGGTGTCCAAAYTCAGTTTAAATCTTTGCTTGGTGCATTTATATCACCTCAGAACCACTGACAGAGTAACCCAGTGGCTGCAGACAGCTCGGGCACTGCAGTGTTTTGACATGCACTGTTTGCTATTCAGCCACTCAGGCAATGTCATGAAAAATCATAATAAAACTAGGAAGACACATCACCTTTGACCTTTGCTGAATAATTTAATAARGCCAGCTCAATACACAAATATGAAAGAGCAGTTGCTGTAAGAGCGGAACTGTTGCTTCCTTGTCTGAGAATTGGAAACAGTTCAGAAGCTTTATTAACCATTCGGTGTCTTCATCTTCAGCAGGGTCTGTCCCTTAGGCCATAACCAAATGTTAAGCTGCTTGTTTCTCCCTGCACTCCCCTCCTTCCAGTACTCACACGAGGATCTTCGCTTATGCTGCACACAATTATGGACTCAGTCCTTCTCATGTTTCTCTACAATCATCCATGTTTTTTTCTCACAAACTCAGTTTTATTTACACAAACATTTTTTTCTCCCCATAGATATGCATTTATTTGTAATGACCTCAAGTGTAGATATTCATAAAAATGAAGCTTTTAGAAGGTACCTGTTACAGGTGCTCTACACATTTAACCCATGATATTTTATGATTCACAAATTCAGGGATGAAAACAATTTCTTTGTAGTTATTGTTTTGTGAGTGTCCCTGTRGTCAGTACTAGGATAATTCACTAATGGCACAAATCTCCCAAGGTTTTTGAAATGCTATTTTGGCCATGTTTATCCTGGGGAAGGGTCTGTTKGGGCTGGGGGTGGTGTGGCTTGCAGAGAGCAGCTGATTCTGAGCCATGAAGCCTCACAGGGTCTGTCCTCTCTGTGGAGTTCATGGTGCAGCGTTTGACCGAGCCCTTTCCCCACCGTCCCCATCTGAAATCTGCAGGTGCTGGGAAACACTCAGTGTCACTTGATTTCCCTCAATGCCATGGCTTCTCCTCCTTGTCTCCCTTTCCCCTGTGGCTCTCCAACACCCCTGAATGCCACCACTCCACAGGTGCCCACCAAACTCACCTTTTATCCCAGATCCCCATCAGCTCAGGGGAGTTTCCCTCTCCCCTGCTCTCCCCAGGGACTCCAACCCTGCACCAAGAGAGCACTCCCACATTGGCACATCCATCACTGCTTCACTGCTGCTGAAACCMGGGGGAAATGGCTGCCTGACTGGAAAAGAGGATAATGAATGTGTGTTAACAGCTAAGGGAGAGTTCAGCTTTTCCCTCAGAGCCCAGAAGGGTTTCTGAGTGTGGTACAGCGTGGCAGGCATGGGGTGGGGATGATGGGGGCCWTGGGGGCCACTTGGGGAGCAGCCAAAACATGGCCCTCACCAGCTGGGGGGACACAGCCATGAGGAGAGCACAGARCCACTGCCAGGAGCAGCTTCTGCCCTGCTGGGACTGGGGAATGTCACTGGGACAGTGCCCGACCGGGGCTGTGGTGACGGGACGGGGCTCTGTGGTGTGCAAGCCATCTGGTGTCCCTGGTGCCAGGCTGTCCCGATGCCATGTGCAGCAGAAACAGCACAGCTTTCCCCGGGGCTGGGTGGAGAGACAGCAGGACCGTGCTGGGGATCCTCTGAGAAACYCCAGGGATTTTTTCTGCTCAGGGTAAAGCCCAATAGAGTTTTCCACATGGGCGCTGCTGTCCTGGGGAAAGAGCACGGTGGGTGGGAGGGAAGATGCTGCTGTGCCCCTGAGTACCCCCAAAAGGGCATTTTGCTCGAGTGTGTGGGGTCAGCGAGGTGTGGCTGAGGGGAGCAGCCACGGCAGAGGTGTTCCCAGACATGGCAGAGGTGCTGCCTTT